TAAAGGTCGACGAAACAAGCGTATATTTTCTCACCGTGACAGTGTACGTACTTGTCTATAAGAGTTCGTAATGTTAGGAGGTGGTCTGATGTTCGATTTTTAGGTAAGAAGCCGATTTGAGACTTGTGGAGTATGTCCAGCGAAGTGACGTGTTCAAGAAGTCTTTGGTTTAAAATTGAAAGAACAACTTTCCTAGACAACTAGAAACACGAATCCCACGGTAATTTGATGGTGTCTTCGTTAAACGTCATTCAGTGATGCTATTGATCGATAGGAAAATGATCTTTGCGCTGCCTAGATTCTCCTAAACGTAGTGTCTAAGTGATCGTTCACTTTTGTGTTGTATTGTGACTGTGGATTTCCAGTAAATTAAAAAGCGCTTAACCTATGATACTATGAGGTAGGCGGTTCAGTACAGCTGATATATAATACCACAAACTCAGAAAACGTTTTGGTGACGTTCTTGTACTGAAGATTATTCGTTTTCGATTAAAACTGTTTGGTAGAGTTCTAGTTTGTGCTTGCTTTCAAGCTAAGGACCAACATATAACTAACATGGGCTCAAAGTAACTTGCAGCAAGGCAATGTAATATTTCAGAAAACCATGGATACATCACGAAGCAGGGATATGTTTTTTTTTTGCAAGCCACCCAGACAAGTTCGCTAAAGGTTTTGGTAATATGATCATATTTCCTTTTTCCAGCAGTTAGTGTCCCGGCGGCAAGCTTTCTTAATAGCTGCAGTTTCTGATGTCTTTTCTGGTGTGTTAATCTTAAGTCGAAAGGACCGATATTAAATTTACTATGACTTTTATTTACCGTTTTTAGTATGAATCTGGTTATTGAGTTGTCTAATACTAGCAGCACATAACCCTGAAAGGGTTATATGCTTCTGCTATTACCCAGAAAAACGAATACTTCCTGATTAGGACTATATTCTTTCGGTCTAAACGTAAGACAAAATTCGTTTTGATTCGACCACGTTGATGATCGCATTAACGAGGTTACTTTATTTTTAACAGAGAATAGTTATAGCGTAATATGAAAAAAGAACCTAAAAGTGCCTTGGCGGTTAATTTCTTCCTCGGAAATAAAGAAAATGTTTGTTTAGTACAGTAAATAGGGTTCAGTCAAGTACATTAGCTTACATTGATTGGGGGAAAATGCTTCTACATTGTTCTCTAAAATAAAATGGACATTTTACTCGTAAAATAGAGTTAACTAATTAGAGCTTACGTCAGCCGTTGTTTTATTATGATTTACTTTACCCTGGGTGGCAAATATGTTGCTATCGCACATAAAAGAACATTGCGTGACTCAGGTCTGGTTCAAGTAGAGCTCCTTGTTTATCTTAAATTACATCAATAACTGACCCTCAGTTGTTTCTATAAACTTCTGTGATAACAAGTTTGCATTGTTAGTAGCTGTAATCATTGACGCCATTAAGACAATACAGATACCGGACGACCACAAACTAGTGTCCTTTGACGTGAAATCGCTGTTCACCAGTATTCCACTTCAACTGGCTCTAGACTGTACCGAGAACGCTATTAAGAACTCTACTGTTGAACTACCACTACCTACAAACGACATTATGGACCTACTGAACCTCTGTTTGACTTCGACGTACTTTCAGTACAACGTCAAACACTACAAACAGTTACACGGTACAGCTATGGGCACTCCAGTTTCTGTTGTTGTAGCAGAAATTGTCATGCAAAACATCGAGGAACAAGCCCTAGCTACCTACACGCGAACTGTACCTCTTTGGTTACGTTACGTTGACGACACATTCACCGCCGTACACAAAGACGGAATCGACGATTTTCACGAACACCTTAACAGACAGAACGCGGATATACAGTTCACCAAGGAGATCGAAGAAAATGGTAAGATACCTTTTCTAGACTGCTTGGTCACTCGCGACAACAACAAACTAAAAACGACTATTTACAGAAAACCGACATATACCGCCCGATTACCAGACCAGTCTTCGTACAACCCGACCTCTCACAAGGCTACTACTATCCGGACTCTGCTGAGACGAGCGCAACTAGTTTGCGACTCACCGTGTGGCAGGGAAAAATAAGAAACTAATGCGTAGTAAACTACTATTGAAAAATACAACGCGTGCACGCAAAGTGAACAAAACAAAGGAGCACTCAGCTAGCATTGATGGATACAGGCATAACATAGTATTGATTGTGATAGGTTTGAACCCAGGAGTCATTTCAAAAGGTTGAGTTTGATCGTCCGGGTGAACGTAGTCCTGAATAGGACTGTTGTTGTTGACAGTGACTGACGTTTCGACAACCTGTGCGGTAGTCATCTTCAGAGTCAAAGTGAGTTGTATCACGTCAGTTGATGGTATTATACTCTGGTTATTGATCTGATTGGTCAATTATGTTGCGATGTTATTGGTCGTCTGTCATTTAAGCCGTGATGTTATTGGCTATGAAGACTCGTAATCAGTGATTGGTGCGTTTCGATCCGTCTATTGTCACAGTTAAACAGTCGTCTATTGTTAGTCAAATTGTCAGTTCTCCAGTTGTTCTCTCATAGTTAGTTTTGCTTGATCTCGTCAATAAGTCGTTTGTAAAGCGCTGGTAACTGTTGGCTACGATTCAGTGGCGTTTGTTCTAAGTTAGTAAACCAGCTTTCTAAAGTAAGACGTTGATAGTAGTCTGTAGAATACGTTATACATGTCGCAGAGTCCCAGTCAATTTGATGTTTCGTCTTTAAATGGTGCTCAGCAATGTGATTGTTAACGTCACCATTTCTCGTCGCGCGTTTGTGTTCGGTCAGTCGCGTGCTTAGGTTTCTGCCGGTTTCACCAATGTAAGAAGCCTGGCAGTCGCAGCATTTGATCTTGTATACTGCTCCCTGTCTGTCCTCCGGTTTGTCTTTGTCCTTGACATTAGTAAGCAGTCGCCGTAAAGTGGTTATCGGTTTGTGTGCAACACGTATATTGTAAGGTTGTAATATACGTGCAATAGTTTCAGAGGTGCCTCTGATGTACGGTATAGTCGCTGTCGTAACAGGACCAGAGTTGGTCTTAGAGTTGGAATCAGTGTTACTGTGAGTGTTCCGTCTAACAAAGTCCGTGTTGTAATTGTTCTAACTAAAAACGTTGTTAAGATAATCAGTCTCGTCTTGTAGGCTGTTAGGTCCACCCTCAATTCAATAAAGCTGGACTACTGGTTTGGGTGCACACCTGCTACTTTTACCTCCGCGTAGCAGGCCAGGTGGGACCCCCACCCCACCTTAGTTTATTCACTCCTGGGTGGGGATGCGCTCCACTCATTGCCTCGTCCGTTACCGTGCAGGGTGTGTCGCTGCCACCCTCACTGCACTGCTCATTGCTAGGGTGTGTCGCTGCCACCCTCATTCCATTATTACTAGGGTGTGTCGCTGCCACCCTTACTGCTCTACTCAGTTTTGGGTGTGTCGCTGCCACCCTTATTGCATGCAATTTATGGGGTGTGTTGCTGCCACCCTTGTTTTACCCCAGGGTGCACCCAACAACCTTTAGTCCCATTTACTGCCAAAGACTGTGTATTTTATCTTGGACTACATAGTTAAGCGATTAAGTTGTTAATGAAGAGTTAATCATACTTACGCGAAAACACACCCAGAATTACTACAGCCAAAATCAATAATGTTTCCATCGCGCCTGCAACCAAAAAAAATTCATACAACATATTAAGAAGATTCCCTAGTTTTGCACTGCGCATCTCTTACTGCGCATAACAAGATGACCGCCGTAAAAAAGAGCGTGTGAAGTAATATTATTAAAATGAAGTTGACTGAAGAGAAACGCTATTGGAATTTTTGCTTGCTGTTGTTTCTTGCCGAGGTGAGACTCAATGTGTTGGGAATCTGCATAACGTAAGCAGTACGCGTGTTGCTGAGTTCGACCTCCTCTCGGAGAACCTCGATAGTGGATGTTTAACTTGTGCTTACTCACTTTGATTTTCATTTAAACACTTTCTTTATCACATTGTGTCCTAAATGTAATATCTCGATGTAAATTCTGTAAAAACAGATTTTTTAATACTTTCTTCCCCCTTTCACATACATTCTATTTTGAAACTCGCCTCAGTCCTCTCTCAAAAATCGGAGAAAATGCGTTTGGTGCGCACTTTCTGCAGCTCTACCGCAAAAACGAGTACGGTGACCCCCATTTTTTATTTCATGATTTTAATAAGGACAGTGCTTCCTTTCGATGGGGAAAAAATTGGCACAAATCTATGTTCAGTTTTTTGGCAATTTTACTAAATTGTACGGATTGAGCCATCACGGGTCGAAAGCGCGCGTCCAATTTAATTCTACTTTGGAGCGTAAAGTAAAAACAAGGGCATTAAAAGGCATTTTTCTCGTACGTAAGTGGATAAACAATACATTTAAGTCAAATTCTGTGTGATGTCACATGCATCATCGAAAAAATCTCTCCTTTTTGTCTAGTTTTGCGCTGCCCGCGGTTTTTGTAAAAGGGTCCTAAATAGCCGTATTTGTCAGCATTGTGACGTCAAAACGAGCACGGTGACCCCCACTTTTTATTACTTTTTTATCATCTTCTTGCCTTGTTACATCAGTGTACCAAGTTTTAGCTAAAATCTATGTTAGGTTCTTTTACTATGGAATCACCTTAAGAGTTTCCTTGAAATTAAAACTCTTTCTGACTCAAAAAAGTATGTTAAGCCTGAAGACTTTTGTTCTTGGGCCATCATAGCTTAATCAAAAGTGAATCACAAGCAGCGGTGATCATAAGCATTCTGAACGTTCAAATTTTTATGTGTAAACTTGACGTTTCTCAGTCCTATGCTAGTCAACATACATTTTCAAAAGTGATCAAAAGAGACAATTACAGATTATGATGAAACTATTCATACAAAGTTACAATTTCATTGATGAGAATTTTCTTAATCTCATTCCCAGACCCCTTGTCAATTTTGTATAAAAAATTTCATTATAATCTGTGACGATCACTTTTAATCACTTTTGAAATTGCCGTACGTTGACTAGAGGGAAACGTTAAGTTTATATATAAAAGTGAAAAAGTTCACTATGTTTTTCACCACTGTTTGCGTTTTAGGTTTGATTATCCTGTGCGTAAAAATGGAATAATAGGGACGTTGGCGACGTCCATGAAAGTGTCACTAAAAAATAGACTCCACATCCTTTCAAACCACTTCGCGATTTTCCCGAGTCGCCCTGAAAGAAAGGAATTTAGGCTGAAACAGGTACCAGGAAATTTGATCATATAAACCCCGCACTAAGAGATCTACGTTGGTTTCCAATTAAACAAAAGCTGTTCTTCCGCGACGCTCTCATGGCATTTAATTGCATGACTGGTCAAGCTCCACATTACCTCAGCGATCAATTTACAACAAGAATTGCGGTCACCGGCGCGTGACTCGAAGTTGCCAATTATTAAACAGCCCCTTGTATAAGTCGAGTACCGGACAGAGAACATTCCACTACAGTATGGTGCACATTTGGAACAATCTAGACAGTACTCTTAAAACTGCAAAATCGATTTCTACTTTTAAATTTTATTTGAAAAATAAATTGATTACTGACTTTTTAAATAGCACGTTATGATAGTATTTTAGTATCTTACNCTATGGAATCACCTTAAGAGTTTCCTTGAAATTAAAACTCTTTCTGACTCAAAAAAGTATGTTAAGCCTGAAGACTTTTGTTCTTGGGCCATCATAGCTTAATCAAAAGTGAATCACAAGCAGCGGTGATCATAAGCATTCTGAACGTTCAAATTTTTATGTGTAAACTTGACGTTTCTCAGTCCTATGCTAGTCAACATACATTTTCAAAAGTGATCAAAAGAGACAATTACAGATTATGATGAAACTATTCATACAAAGTTACAATTTCATTGATGAGAATTTTCTTAATCTCATTCCCAGACCCCTTGTCAATTTTGTATAAAAAATTTCATTATAATCTGTGACGATCACTTTTAATCACTTTTGAAATTGCCGTACGTTGACTAGAGGGAAACGTTAAGTTTATATATAAAAGTGAAAAAGTTCACTATGTTTTTCACCACTGTTTGCGTTTTAGGTTTGATTATCCTGTGCGTAAAAATGGAATAATAGGGACGTTGGCGACGTCCATGAAAGTGTCACTAAAAAATAGACTCCACATCCTTTCAAACCACTTCGCGATTTTCCCGAGTCGCCCTGAAAGAAAGGAATTTAGGCTGAAACAGGTACCAGGAAATTTGATCATATAAACCCCGCACTAAGAGATCTACGTTGGTTTCCAATTAAACAAAAGCTGTTCTTCCGCGACGCTCTCATGGCATTTAATTGCATGACTGGTCAAGCTCCACATTACCTCAGCGATCAATTTACAACAAGAATTGCGGTCACCGGCGCGTGACTCGAAGTTGCCAATTATTAAACAGCCCCTTGTATAAGTCGAGTACCGGACAGAGAACATTCCACTACAGTATGGTGCACATTTGGAACAATCTAGACAGTACTCTTAAAACTGCAAAATCGATTTCTACTTTTAAATTTTATTTGAAAAATAAATTGATTACTGACTTTTTAAATAGCACGTTATGATAGTATTTTAGTATCTTACCAGTATCTTATTTTATTATAATTTTAACTTAAAAATATGCATATTGTATAGTACGTAGTGAGAATATTTATTATTCGATTAACTCTTAAATAGGTATGTTTATATTGCTTTTGTTCACCGCACTCTTTCCTTTTTAATTGAATTGTTAACTACTTCTCTTATCTTAATTAGTAGTCGCATTGTCACTGAAAAGCCCCCACCAGGGGAGTGTCAATAAACTATTGTATTGTATTGTAGAGGGGGCTGCGCTCGAGTTCAGACAGAGATGGCAGAATTTATCGTCTTGCCATTCTAGTCCTTAAAAGATTTAAAATTTGGCCATTTCACGTCGTGGTTGTGCAGAGACAGCAAAGAAATGTACAAAAAAGGGTGATGCACGTGTAGAGTTGTTGTTTTGCTAACTACACCTATTGCTTTTTGATGTTGCCGTTGTCGTCATAAGGTCTCTAATAGGACATGGAGACAGGGACGTTGTGACTTATTTTACAGAAACGTGGGACTCGGGAAGTGGGATAACGGACTCGGGGGCCTCGAGTATGGGACTTGGAGACGTGAAATACGGGACGTTGGGACGTAAATTATGACTCACTAGGACACAAAATACAGGACACGGAGACGCGACAAAAATTGTTTAAGTTTCTGCAAATGTCGGGGATAACTGTGAATAAGTCACTTTCTTCATAAAAAATTGGGTGTTGTTGCTTCTATTTTTTGCGACCGCACCAGTATACCGCTGTAGCAGGGGTTCCAAAATTCCTGCAAGAAGACTAGCACCCTGCTACCAGAGCCTTTCTGGTACTTATTCCATTTCTGCGAACTAGGGAAATTTAAAAAATTGAAGCGACTACACAAATCGAGTAAGACTTTGTTGAGCATGTGCTGCTTGTTG